TCTTTTTATCCGTTTGCTGACTAAAGGACGAGTGTACTGTGCAGTAGTTTGCTCCGTCTTCCTTTATGGCTGTGAAACATGGCCAGTGAGAGTAGAAGATATTCGTAGGTTACTGGTTTTCGATTATAGGTGTCTTAGAATCATTGTTTGTATATCCTGCGACAAGTGAGTGAGCAATGCTGTTAATAGGAAATGGGTGCTAGTTAAGAATGGCAAATCAATAGATAAAGTATTAAAACTTAATCAGTTGAAGTGGTTGAGACATATGTTGAGTATACCTAACCAACGACTGCCTCGACGAACTATATTTTGCGGTGTAGAAATAGGTTGGATGAAAGCTAAGGCCGGCCAGACCAAAACATGGCACAAATCCATGAAGTTACTGACAGTTGGACTGAGCCATGTCGGTAGTTGTCGACTACCTGGTTGGAGTACGCGAGACGAAAGTCACCGATAGTTAGAGACCTTAAATGACATGGCTCAAAACCGTTTGCAGTGGCGCAGATGCATTCATCCTTTATATTCTCTCAAACCCTACACTTTTTAATTCTTCATCACTTTATCTTTTTGTTTTCAAGTCTATTTCACTGGTTTCTATTTCTTCAATAATATCTTCAATCCTAACCTCTCCGACTACTGCTAATACCTCTACTATTATGCGGTTTGAATTGACAATTACATCTCTGTGTTAATGTGGTAAGGCAACATGAACTGATGTACATACGTACGAAGTTCTACGTTGCTACTGACTGATTGATTGTTTGCTTGTTTTTATGCATCATTTTGTTTGTCAACTTAACAATTCAATCAAATAAATGATCAACTTTCAATGAACTACTGTATATTCATTCCATAACATAATGATAAAAATAATAATAATATTTCTTTCTACAGAACATTAGATCAATGGACTATGTAACATTATTTTAAAAAAAAAGATTAGTCTTACTCATTATTTATATATATATATTTATTTAGAGGATTACAGAAATGACCTGAAAGTTTGTTTGGTTTTTGAGAAAAAAAATGAGGACATTAAATATAATTCTAGTGATATTTTTATTATTAAGCAATTCGTTATATAAATATATGTATATCTATGCTTCATTTATTCCAGCATGACATATTGAACTTATAGTTGAATGCATTAAATATTCTCAGGAGTTTCAAAGTTGTTTAATTTTTTTTACCTGAATATCTAGTATCAACTAAGAGAATTCATATTCGACAATATTATTATTATTTAATAGTAGATTAAACATTTTCTTAATTCCTTCATCGATTTTAGATTAAAACAAAACAGTCTTGAAATAATGTACACTATCATGATATGTCAGACATCAGCCTAGTGTAGAGTTTGTATTACTGAGTGACAAATTCTCGAATGAAATGTAGACATTTAATTTAAGCGGATTTTAATCTTTTCACTGTTGATATGCTTAACTAAATTTTTTGATCAGTCTCACATGGCATATTCACTTTGTGTGCCGGCGTGAAGATACATTCAGTTTACGAGTAAGTTACCCCGACCGGTTTCAAACACAAGTCATCTTTTCATCTTTTCAAGAGAACTAGGATTATTATATTATGAGTCGTTGTTTTGCAATCAATCAATCAATAGTCCGTAACCTGTTTAAAATACTTTCTGACAAATTTATCATTGTTAGGTTTTTTTCCTGACCTCAGTTTTCCAAATAACATATTATTTAATAAATAAATATTTACATTATTCTTACCTAATATAAATGTTTAAAATTTTATTAGTTCAATCACGAAAATTCTCTGTCACCCGACATTCGTCCTACAACGCATTTTTTTGCAGCTCACAAAAAACTATGTTTTGTGTCAAAATGATGAATATATATATATATATATATACCTTTTTAAGGTTAATAAATTTGCAATGATGAGTATGTTTTGTTTGTTGTAAAGTCATATTTCAAAAAAAAGATTTTCAACCATTGAAACATAATGCATCAATTCAGTGGTTGACAATTGAAGAGCATGAAGAACTTGCTTTATTCAGCCACTTTTTTCCCTCATGACTCTTTTCCTATTCACTACCGGCATTTTCAAAAGAAAGAAAGGAAAAGAAAAGCATTGAATCATATCCTTAAAATAGAAGAGTAAAGAATCAATTACCTCATTTGTGACATGGTTTTTAATTTGACAAGCGGTAGTTTATATTCATTTGTTTTGACCTCTAGTAGTTTTTTGTTTTTCAAAATGAAGCTGCCAGTCACAATTCATTGACTTCATGATTATTATTAGGATAGAGATGAATAGAAATGAATAACTGATTGAGTATAAGTTCGGTTGTAAACATCCTGAACATTGAAATTTTTGTGTATAGGGTTTTTCTGAGAATAGTCAATTTGTACGAAATCTAGATAAGTAAGTTTCGGCTAATGGTCTCCGACCAACCCTACACCGTCTCTACTGGTTATGTGATATCTGAAGTTTGTGCTGATGATGTTGTTTTCAAAAGAACAATGAAAACTCCACAACCAAAACATCCAGTTTAGAGAACCAAACACCACCACGATATAATAGTTTAAATATATAGTTAGACTTTCTGGCCATATTTTACACTTTATTATGTATAAATTTTCATTCATTTATTGATGGGAAGTAAAAGTGTACAACAATAAAAAGCTTTCACGAGTAACACATTAAATTGAAAAATTATGGGATCAATCTATTTAACTCTTTAATGTTGCAAAACATTATTCACCTCAGTTAGACATTGTATTTAATGCAATTTTATTTTAACCTGACTAATGATTTAAAATGACCTGATTTACTTTTTTTTTGTGTGTGATTGAGCAGTGGAGGTTTCATTGCCACAGTGTTCAGATTATTAAAGCAACTTCCATGTAACTATGTACAAATATTTGAAGCATACTCTCTGCTTTGATTGTTAAGCTGATTTGCTTAGTCCCACATAAAATAAACTATTTCAATGATCAAAAAAAGATAAACAAACATTTTTTCTTATTATTCACTCAATTATCTGTAAAGTTCGTATTTTACCAAAGTAAATAAAGTGGCTTGTGAAGAAAATCAAAAGTAATAACCATTTTTTGTTGTTGTGATAACAATTGAATTTTTGATTAGGCATTTTATATGAAGCGTTTCAAAAAAGAAGGCATTTTGAACAAATAATTTCAATAGAAATAAATTTCAATTTTTGTTTATGTATTGATGATGATTCGAGTTAAGTAAAAAAGAAAAAAAGCAGAAAAGAAACAGCTTTAAAAGCATATTTCCATTTGACAGTCTTTACAATAACCGAAAGTTATCCTAGTCGCATTATTTTGAGTGCCAAAACAAAAATTGATAAAAAATTGGAAAAAGCTTTTCATTCATCAAATTAGATCCATTAAATTCTATGGATTTTATAAGATTTATTCAGTTTTGAAGTAGCTAGCTTTGTTACTTTAAAAACTGTAGCCAATATAAATCATGGAATGTTGCATGGTCATTTCAATTATTTATGTACTGTACTGTACTGTACTGTACTGTACTAAATGAAAGCTGTTTTACTTTGATTATGAATGAAATCTATCAATCCTGGTATTTCATTACACTTTGAATCAAAGTTGGTAAATAAATTATTTCTGTTTCACTTAAACGTAATCAGCAGTGTTTAATACAAAAAATGTGAAGCAGAATCGGGTTGATGATTTACTTTTAACTAAAATTAATCTGATGGATGTTCACTAACTACCTGAAAGGAATTTTTTTATAGATAATTAGTTAGTAATCCATATTTGGTCTTTCTAACAATCAAAATCAAATTAATTCCGCGTTACATTTGATATTAATTAGATTAAACAAGAATCAACAAGTTGTTGAAACCAAGAAATTAGAACACCCATATCTCTCACGCTTTACATCACAAATTATTCTCACTTATACAACTGTCGAATAACAAGAAATACCGGGCATTCATTTTATCCTAGAGTGAGACTTCTGCGTTACACATACCCGTGGTCTCTCCGCTGGTTAAATTCCAATGTGAAAGAAGTCTCGTGATGAGACTTTAACTCTAATATGACTGAGCTAATATCGAACGGTTTACATGTCTAAAGTCAATTGATTTTTCGTAATGCTTAACCATCGATCATGACATGTAGTATCTGACCATTGACATGACTGGACTCCGTTGGTTGCATGTGCTTACTTAAACTCCAGCGAGCTTCCCTTAATGTCGATCAGAAAACAGTAACTTTTATTCGAATACAGAATGACGAAATCGCATGCAAAAACACGATAACTCTATTAGTTCAAATTGACCCACTTGTATACAGGTTTCTACTGGTTGACTTTTTTAATGTATCATCATACATTGAATCAAATAATCCCATATTTTATATGGTTTTGTTCATTGAACGATTTTTTTTTAAAATTTTAGCAACATTAAAAGATATTAATTTCATCTAATCAGATGCAAACTGAAATCGATACGAGATTTTTCTCTGTGAAAAAAAAATCGAAACGCTGATAGAAATCAATAAAAAAAATATTAATTTTCTCAACAAAATTTATGCGCACAGTAAAATTCAATGGATTCAATTTTAGGGAGGGAAAATTAAATCAGCTCAACTAGTTGATTTAGTGATGCGAAGAAAAAAAATGTTCCATCATGCAAATTATTTATTGTAATATATACATAAGAAAAAAGAAGTATTTTATGTAAATATTATTCAAGATCTAATTAAAAAAAACACATTTGTTCGCCGGTATATGTTTGCTTATAATTGTACATACTTTTCCTAATGTCTATTATTAATGAATAAGACTTCAAGTGACTAACTGCGCCAGAAAATTAGTTTCGTATAATAATAATTTATCTTGTGAAATATAAAATTGCAAGCATATGTCTATTTCAATTGATTTTTTTTATTTACTAGTCACTTGCTTTCGTTAATTTTATTCATAAAAAACAAACATATGAATGTATATTATTATATATACAGATTGATTTTTTTGATTAGGGTGAAACTCGTTCATCGGAATCTGATCAATCTCAACAATCCAACTGTTCAAAAAGTAATCATGGAACTAATGATAATGTGACAAGTACAACTAGAAGTTTAAGTGAAGACGGTAAGTATCTTACGAACTATAAAATTATATATATATATATATATATATATATATATATATATATATATATATATATATATATATTCTAATGTAAAATTATTTATCAGTTTTATTTAGAGGTTGAATCTGTGTGTGATTAATTCATTGTGAAGAACACTATTGTTTACCAAATTTATCTTTAATCAGGTGGAGATAGCTGACAGAATACCCTACTGAGATTTCTTATTTTTTTAACAGTCATCAGTAATGCATAACTGTGATCTCGATGAAGCGGTTACTTCTCAACAAATTCAGTTCTACATTATTGAACCCCATCACTTAAGCCAATATCACTGAGCTATACTAGCCACAACCAACCTCCTCAGTGAGAGGGAAATGTTCAGAATTGAGTAGTGATCAGTGAATATTAACCAATTACACGTTTGTCAAGCCATTCAGTACTGATTGCGATCTATTGAAAAGGCTATAATTTAAGTTTTACACATCAGATCCAAAAACATTTTGATGGCAATTAGAAATTCCTGAAAAATAATGGTTCTTTAGGGCTAGTTTTATTGAGAACACATTAAGAACTTATGTAAAAAGATTAAATTACATTTGATTGTAGACTGTTACGGATATGATTATAATTATCATCCAGGTCCTATACAATTTTGTTCAATAATCTCACTGACAAAAAAAAATCAAATGAATTATGTTGTAATTTTATAAGTCCAATAAACAAAATCATTCAAACGATTAATAAAATCCAGCTGTTTGTAACAAGGAAATAATTTTTCAAACTTCTTGTATTATCAGTGTTTACACTTGATAGAGTCTCATTTCAAAAGGCTAGATATACATAATTTCAGTACATTCATGAATAGAAAAAACACCCCGTTTTCATCACATTCTTCTACATTATAACTGAATTAATGATCTAAAGTAATGACCAGAACGTCTTCTGAAATTACAACGTTTGAACTAAAAATTACCGATAAAGTAGGATTACTATTGCGAAGAGTACTACTATGAAAAGTTAGCTAAAATAAGTTTATGAATTGGGTGGAATTATGAGTTTATTAATCAAAATAAATAAAGTCGACTTTTATGTAGGGAAATAATGATTCAGTTACGAGTCAGATCAAAGTTGTACTTGCAAACTACAGATTTCATATAGCTATACCAATTAGGCAGAAATCAATAAAACATAATAAGTACTAATTAAATTCTTTCTGTACTTATGAAACTGAAAATTTTATTTAATTCTTTCTGTACTTATGAAACTGAAAAATTTATTTACTAAGAAATTCGAATAATAATAAAATCTTGGTAGATGAGGGAGTGAGTTTTATGTGTATCAGACAACTGAAAAGCCTATTGATTATAAAACCCGGTTGCTATTGAAGGCTGAGCGTAATCCTTCTGAAAGTTAAGCTCCTGCTTTATATTCAATAAAACCATTGTTTTCATTTTGGGAAAATTAGTAGTGACAGAATTTCTAACACGACTGACTACAGAAAACTATTGATTCATCCCGATAGTCTAACAGGCTAAGATTTGTTTGTGGTAATAATCGTACGTTTGCTTTTTCAGTTTGAGATGTGTCAGCAGGCATGAAAATGTGAATTTCTAGAGTACGTTACTCCACATTTTATTTTGAGTCAATAACAGTTTCATATATTTTTCATCTATTGATTCCTGACGTTTGTTTCAGTTGTATCAATAGGGCTTTTATAAAACCATGAAACATTGAAAATATGGATCCTTGGTTCGAGATTCACAACGGTATCACTTGATTTGATACTGCGTATTTGTTTAAATACATTCTTCATTGTTTTTTACTGACCAATATAAACTTATAGTTATTCATAATTATATTCTTCTGCTAAAATAATATCAACCATACAAACGTTTCATAAGTATGAACAAAAATTAATATTAACAAAAATGCATTTGAAATATTTGTCAATACATATATAATATTATCTTGTAACAGAAGTGAATTGTAAGATAATTTTAAGATTTTATTTTAAACAAACATTAACAATAATGAATATTTGAAAGATTAAACTAGTTGGAACATGTTTGAATAAGTAAAAATTATTGATTTTGTTACTGGCGAAATCAATTAAATTTATCGGATTAGTTTTCACTGTTGAATGCTTTTTGTTTCAAATCTAATTTCTCCAAAGCATGCACTAGTAGACTGAACAAAATGCAAGAAATTTATTGAGTACTCAAAATATATTTTCTATAATCAGTTGTCTTAAATCTGTTGAAAATTTTATGTTTTCATCACTTATGTTCATGGTTAAGGCATATTGAGAATTGAATATTTCGGAACACATTTTCAAAAATTTAACCTTCTGGATCCATGAATTTTTTATCGAATTTATTTTTTGCCTAACAATGAAACCGACTGATAGTAAATCACAGTGTATAAAAACATGGTACATTTTTAAACTGTATCCAATTTACATGAATAATTTAAAATATTTTGAAGCTATGAATTAATGAACAAAACGGCCGTTTCATCCTGGTATGGAACTCATCAGCAGTAAGCATCTACGACTCTGGATACTCACAGGATTCAAACATAGGATCTTCGGTCTTGCGCTCGAATGCCTAACTTCTGAACTACTGAGCCGGCATCTAACAGTGATAATATCTAACTTCCATCAATCCACGGTCTTTCACAACCTCATCCACTGTTTTTGGCGAGCACTCCGAATTCCTCATGCTCATTAGCGACTAACTCCGTAGGAAAGTTTCTCCGAGTCCTAGTGAGAAGTCGTGAGCAGTAGAATTTAACCCTGTTCGGGAATTGATCAGTGCTCACTGAAGACAGTAGATGAGGTTGCACAAGAGCTTGTATTAGACATTAACATCGTTAAATCCCGGTGTAAATTAAAATTACCTCTTCAGGAAATTCAAAAACTTAAGTACTTCATAAATATATTGACCGTAATACATTGAAAGAATAAAATAAGAGAGATGAATAATGAGAACAGAGGCACATATAAGATCAATTTAACGTTTTAAAAACAACAATATAGATGATTTGAATTAATTGTCAATTGTATTTTACTAGATCTTATGCGAATCGTACTTTCTTTGTCTTCCGTTGTCTATTAAAGTTGTTCTTTCTAATGTCTGATATAAACCAATTCATATAAAAAAACAACTAATAGAAATGTAAGTAAGTCAATCGAATTCCATGATAGAACTCAATGAAAGTAAACAATGTCTAAACAACTGTAATCTCTATTCCGAAAATGTTTTGAAATTGTTGTGCAAATTAGAGAACAGATACAGTAATAATGATCAGCAAACATTTGTCATAACTCTTGCAAATACACTTCTTATCATTAAATTATTGTAGATCCTTATAAAAAAGAAAGCGTAATTCGTAGCACTTAACACATCTGGTGAACAAAAGCAGCTCAGAAACCTCTGTATGATCGCTCTTTAGCCAGAAACAATTTGAGAGTTGACGTGATACTGTTTTTCTGTATAGATTTTTACTTTAAACCATTATTTTTCGACGTTGTGATTGCAAATTAATTACATGATTTTGTTGGTCAATAAAACATACCTAGTGTAATGATACTTATTTTCAAGCATGTTTTCATTGTCAAAACCCAATTCATGTGATCAAAAAACAATCGAAATAAACTAAGTAGTTGTTCAAATGCTTTGATAATCAGATTTTAACAGATTAAACCCTCATATTTAATTCCTATCAGGTTCGATAGGTTTACTCCAATCATGATGAGTAAGTATAGTTTAAAAGCATTTTAGCAAGCCATTGAAATGCACATTTGGTCAACAGATTCTCTAGACAAGTTTACTGAGAATATTTTAATTGTTTGTCTTCGTATTTCATCAATCACAAGATATTTAGAATATCTACCGTGTAGGCCAAACGAAATATTTAGAAAAAGATAATCACATTCATTAAGGCCTTCTTTAGACTTTATATCATAATAAAAAATCTTTAAATTGATGAAGATACTCTGTAAGTAAGTTATATCAATAATGTAAATTAAATGACTATTTCTTATAAAGAAAATTGACTATAGGATTATATGGGTGTTATAGTAAAAATGACAAGATTACTAACAGACTACATAATATATCATCAGCAAGATTATTAACATGGGATCAAAACCTGAAATAAAACTATGAAATAGAAAACGTATAAATGCCATGTTCAAAGGTACACAGGACTAAGAGAAAGTACTAAAGTATAAAACAAAAGAAGCAAGCAGATAGTGTGGTGTAATAATAAAACTTTCGATTTATTCATCTCTTTTTGAAGTAAAGATAAAACATCAAGACCTCGAACGATTTGTGTCTATAGATGAATGGCATGATTCAATGTAGTCGGTAAAAAATTAGAAGCTCTCTGTTTAATCGCCTTCCATATTCTAGTCTTACTTGTTGCATACTCACCAAGGTCCAATTATGAGAAATAAAATCTGCCTATTACGATTGATCCTTTTCCAAACTGCAAACCTTAAATATAAGTTGATTTACGAAGGTATTTGATTTCAACAGCTCATAGTAAATTTAAGAACCAGGTAGCTAGTTTCAACTGAATATAAGCAACAATTTTTATCAGTATTTTCATAACTAAATGAAGTTTAACTAGCAAAAGTTTATAATTTTATAAACTAAATGTTCATTGGTCTTCCCTAATACAGATGAAGACAGTTATCTAAATTCATTGCTGAATAAGATAGAGTAGAATGGCTCGTAAAAAATCTGCACGTCTAACAAAAGTTAAGATGCTGTTGACACTAGTGTTTGTAAGTCTATGGGCAACAAAGAGCTTGCCTCATATATATATATATATATATATATATATATATATATATATATATATATAAACTCATCAAACCATCAGTCAACAAATTGTCATCATATGTCTCATTTTGACAGATCTCATTGTCTCCTATATGTATATTTCATCACTTATTTTGTTGTGAGTTTATCAAAACTATTTTGATTTTGTT